TCTTTGTTTTAAAAGCCATAGCTGCAGTTGAAGAGTGCTAACTTGGAGTCTCAGCCCCCTGCAACTCTCTATTCTGTGCATGATGGAAAACATTGGACTTCTTAGCATGTAGCACTGGCTCCTGTAAGATGCTGTAAAATCTTTAGCCCATCCTAAACATGGCTGATACTTTCTGCTACTGTGGTGCTTTCGCCAAGGGTGGCCTGAGTATCTTACGAGTAGGGAAGTAAAATATGAGGGCTGGGATTCAAACCCCAGGATCCGAACAAGAAGCTGTATGTTGGCAACCACATCCCAGCAATGGGAGACTGAGACAGGAGGAACCTGGGGACTTACAATCCAGCCGTTCTCTCCAAAGATGTCAGCTCTGACTCAGCAAGAGATCCTGTCTCAATAAGTAAGGCTGAAAGTCGTAAGGTAGACACAATGAAAGAAACAGGGGACACTGATTCATTTCTTAGGTTGATTAATGGAGGAAAGTTAAGGAAACATCTATTATACTGCAAATTGTATTAAGTTGGAAGGGAAATAAGCATTTTCCACATTTTGTCACCTGTGTTGAGACAATCGGTGCTGCTGTAATTCTAATACTTCTTCGCACAGATTAACCATGCATTAGTAAATGCCTCAATTTACCATGGTCAATTTCTTCATGAAACAACCATGCATATATCCTGTGATTATGGGCCCTGACCTTTTTAATGTTGGCATGTGTAAGCATGATTAGGGAGTCTGTCTGGATGCGGAATTGTATGGAATGTCCTCACACACTTAGTCTGGAAGCTGACACTTGTATTTTTACCGGCTCCTGGTTGTATGGCTGATATGTCTGGATATCAGGGCAGCATGCTCTAACATTCTGTCCTTTCTCAGCCCTCCTCCCCTTCTTTCAACGTGTGTTGCTAGCTGTGTGCCAGTTCTTCATTAGTGTTTGAGAGTTCACAGATACAGCATGGCTTCTATTGCTAGGAGCTGCCCACGGCTTCCATAGACAAACATGTGTGTAAGAAGTTAAACTCATCATCAGCTGTCACCAAGAAGTGCTTTCTGAACAACTATAAAATGCCCCAAATATCTCTCTCTCTCTCTCTCTCTCTCTCTCTCTCTCTCTCTCTCTCTCTCTCTCTCTCTCACACACACACACACACACGTATGAAGGCAGCAGCTCAGTTACTATCTAGCCCTTACTAGACGTCCTTCTCCATCCAAAGCCAAATCTTTGCCAATGAGGAATCTAAGTGATAACATCCACTGCTTTCTAGACTTGACTATTAAAATTAACCATGAGGTCACTAGAAGATTTGAAACATCTGTAAAATTATAATATAATTGGGCTCCTGGATAGAATGATAGCAATTAAATAACTATTAAATAAGGGGATGTAGCGTGGTAATGTTCATTAGAAAATAATCAAACTAAGTTTAAAATGTCAACTCAGTTTTTTTAAAAAAATTGTCTAAAAGAAATTTGAATTGAGATTTTTTTTTTTGGTTAATCCTACTAACAAGATAAATTTAACCCAAGAATAACAAAATAAAGAGGTTTGGGGGATAAGAATTAAATGTCAACTTCATTGGAGAGGAACACAGTAGAAGAGTACCAGAATAAGTTAGGAATTGAAACCGGGTGCAAAAAGACAAACCAAACTATCTTTAAAAGATACTTTGTCCTTGTTACTTAGAAAATGGATTTGAACATGACAAAGTTCCCTCTGGAGTAACACATGCGTGTCTCTCTTCTTTCCCAGGGCTTTGGGAATCCCTCTGGTGAATACTGGCTGGGGAATGAGTTTATTTTTGCCATCACCAGTCAGAGGCAGTACACGCTGAGGATTGAACTGATGGACTGGGAAGGGAACCGAGCCTACTCACAGTACGACAGATTCCACATAGGAAATGAAAAGCAGAACTATAGGTAAGCTGCATTCTGAACTAAAACCAGCAGTCTTTGGCTTTACCACCAAGGGGCTGTAATTAACAAGCAGGAAATAATGTAAATGCTGCCCGACGATCCGACAATGAAAGTTCAGTTTGTTTGTGTAGCCCTATGATGATGAGACCGAGAAAACCCTGAAAGGCCTTCTCGAAGGCTTTAAGGTTAGTCTTTTGTTTTAATTAATTCATTTTGTATCCCAACCGGTGTCCTCTCCTTGCCTCCCATATACCACTCCCCCTTTTGCCTGCCAATTCTCTCCTCTATTTAGAAAAGGAGGCCTTGAGTGGATGCCAGCAAAACATGGCATATCAAGTTATATACAGTAAGACTAAGCACCTTAACTTATATTAAGGCTGGGCAAGGCGATCCAGTATGAGGAATAGGGTGGCAAAATTCAGAGACAGTCCCTGCTCCCACTGTTGGGAGTCTCACAAGAAGACCAAGCTATGCAATTGTAACATATAGGGCCTAGGTCAGTTCCATGAAGGCTCCCTCTATGAGGCCCTATGAGCCCAGGTTAGTTGATTCTGTTGGTTTTCTTGTGATGTCCTTGATCCCTCTGGCTCCTAGAAATCCTTCCTGTCTTTATAAGGATTCCCCAAGCTAATGTTTGGCTGTGGGGCTCTGCATCTGTTTCCATCAGTTTCTGAATGAAGACACCAATCTAGGAATACAGGAGAATATTGATAGACATCATTACAATGACATTTTTATCTCTGGTCATGTTTAGTTCTATGCAAGGTCTCTGGGAAATCCAGCCTCTGGGTCCTGGCACTCCAGGCAGTGTGTTTGTGTGTGTGTGTGTGTGTGTGTGTGTGTGTGTGTGTGTGTGTGTGTGTGGGGGACTCC